CCTACACGGCGGGTCTTTAGTGGTACTGGGCTCGTACTCGTGACAAGGCAAGCCACGGTCCGATACCTTTACCACTCGGCTACCGCGGCCACGTGACTAGGGAGGAAAAAACCATGTTTCCAGAACTACCATGTTGCTTGAAGCGTGGTGGTACAAAATATGTACCACTTATTTTTAAAAATTTGGACACCCTTTATTTGAAAAAGTGTTTAATATTAATATGTACCAGCTTTTGTTTAATAATTACAGTTTTGTGAGGTCTATCTAAAATATTTGTAATTATTTTCCTTCTAGTGCATTATTTTTGTCAAACATTCAGCCCATGAAAGTTGACATGTGGAAGTTTGAAGAAGGAAACTAGCTCAGGTATCCTCCTTGTCACTTGACTCGATTCAAAACTTCAAGGTCCGTTTCCAACAGCCATCGTATTGCTTGTGCGACGTTAATAAATATTCACTCACCCATGACAAACTAACATTCACCATTAGGAATTACAATTCCGGTATATCGAATACCGATATTTTGAGCCATTTATACAATTTCGTAATACCGGTATTCACAAGCTTAAATACTGGTTTTTCGGTTATTACTAGAAATTTTTTTTGTCTTCACTATGTGTTCAGAGATCTCCAACCTAGCTAAATAGTATACATTTTTGTTATTATGTCTCCCTAACGGGCGAAATTAATTAGACTGAATATAAAGTTGCATCGTACAATCAAGAAAAGTAATAAAATATGTGAATTATCCAAGGAGGAGGGCTAAAACTATTCTATTACAGCTCAGAGCGATACTGAGGAGGATTCGTAGTCTGATATTCGTATCTGTGAAAACAAAGTTGTAATTGTGAAGCAAGTGCGTAATATTTCGATCTTTTTTAAATTGGGGAGTTTGTTATTCACATGGGATTTGAATATCATACTTGTAATTACATACCATCATGATTTTATAAATGAAAATGAAAAAGAAAAGAGATTAATCATTTCAAATTTGATCAACTTTATAGTAAATTTTCTTAAAATTTTTTACCCACAAACCTTATCCACATTCAGAAGAATTTGGTAGAGTTATCGAAGATGTGATTATGACACTAATGTCGATAGTAAAAAGGAATTATCTCTTGAACAAAAAATTAGAATTAGCGAAACTAAAAAAATTTCAATAAACCAAAGTACAAAACAGAAATGAGTTATATCCAAAACACACACACAATCCGACGAGAAATCGATTTATTTGCAGATGAGGGATTTAGAGGGGTAAATACTTGAAAAAATTATATCGCATTGCTAACCGTACGACAAATAAGCGTAGATATCGAAAGAGCGTTTTCAACAGCTGGTAATTTTTGCACAAAATTGCATTCCAATCTTAATGACAGTACACTTGAAGCATTATGTTTTTTAAGATCACATTACAAAAATTTGCAATAGTACCACAGACTGAATTGTGATACTTGCACTTTTTTGTGATTTAAAGAAATAAGATGTTCCTTTATTTTTTTGTAATTTTTTATATATACTGTTATAATTTATAAGTTAAAAATTATTTTGAGATTTTTACGATCTAATAAAACTGACAGATAAAACAAAGAAACACCAGTGTTTTCTTTATCTGAAATTTCTACTACCGGTATTAAGATCTAAAAAATACCAAATACCGGTATTGAACTTTTGGTCCGATATTGCAATCCCTACTCACCATGGTCCATTTTAACAGATTAAAAAAAAAATAAATCTCTCCCCCCTCCCTCTTTTATTTCAAAAATAAAATGCAAGTTTCAACCGTCAAAATTTACCAATGTATAGATGCAATGCAAAATTAGAATATGCAAATAAAAAGGACAGGGGGTTCGCTTCAGTTTTCAAATATTATCAAATATTTTTCCAGAGCTTGAATAATTTTAAATATCTTGACGTAGTGCTACATTGTATCAAATATTTGAAATTACTAAATACAGATTTTCTGATTTCAAATTCGATTAAAAAAAAATATCGAAGTGCGTCATGTTTATTTAAAGGTCCATTTTTAAAATATAAGTACTGATAGGAGCTATTCAAAGTTGCCTGCATATATTTACTCTACAAATAAAAGTATATTAGATTGTGTTCATATATTAAATTTTAAATCATGTTATGGAACAAAATTTCCTCTCGTAAATTAAATTCTATTTTTACCAGTCAACTTCAATGAGTGAAAAATGTAGAGGTGGAGGGAAAAAAAACTGTTAGAAAAAACACAATGCTTCTCATTTTTATAAAATATGAATGCCAACGCGCACATATCAATGTCATGTAGTTGAACTAGCTGATCAGCACATCTGGTACAAACAAGAAATGGGTTGTATTGGGTTTTTTTTTTTCGCTGACTATAGATCCATCTAAAAAAAAAAAAAGCCCCCCCCCCCCATTAGAACTGAATACACATGTAAAAAATGTCTGTGCCGTTTCCATGGAGTATAATGACAAAAGAAAATATGCAGTTAGATTTTGCTCATAATTCTCAAATTATAGGCAATATATATTAAGATCAGTAACTGTTCTGTTGTTATTAATGCCACCTGCCTGACGAAGACAAAGACCCGCGAAATTCATCGCGGCTCAGGACTAGATTTTTTACGACTGTCGTTAGCCTTAGCTTTGAGCACCGTGCAGGTGGCAGTCCGATTTTGCTTGGTTCCACCCCAATTTAGAGGGAGAAGACACTGGGGGTGGAGAGGGGCCTCCCACATCCCTTCCTCTTCCACCAACCTCACGAGAGGACTTGCGGCTCGACGACTATTTAGAGTACCCCCACGTCGCAAAGGCACTATACATTTACAAACATCCATGTCTTCTCCGGGATTCGAACCCAGGCCCTACGGCACCGCAGTCAACGTCGCTAACCACTATACCGGTTGGGCTCCAATTGTGATCTGCATACAATCAATTTTTCTACTGACCGTTTCATTTCTAGTCAAAAGTAAAATAGGATCGAATGGGAATCAACATTATATCCAATGTTTTGCACAGGCGCTCGCATAACGCTTGAAGGAATTGTTTTACGTGAATTATATTTCAACATTTGGTGAGGAAGGTTACGCTCTCAAATGACGGGAGCTATTAATAGTACATAAATAACACAATTAGCGTAACAATTCATCTGCAGTGGTTGGAAAATATCATGAAGTTTGGAAATTATGTTTCGAAATTTTGTAAAGTTAGACAAATTACATCACAAATTGCGCGACATTACAAAATCCTAACCTTATAGAAAACAAATGGTATTAATGGTATCTATGATTTATGATCAAAAGTGATACTTTTTGGAAAACATTTTTCCATACAGCCACTTTCAGAGAAACAAAAATTCGATTCACTATATCACTGGATTCCTCTTATTGTATTTTCAAGAAATTCAACTAGATTTTATTATAAGTTGTTCTGTATTATTGGCAACAAAATTCTGAGCAAAACTCTAATATACGGCTTAGCTAAAATATCACCGGACACGAGTTCAGTGAACCGACCATGGCCATTTGGCCTTTGCGATAACGATTTGGTACCTCCTTAACCAAACTTCCACATTACGTGGAAATGATATATTAGATTTATCAAACATCTTACATTAGTCATAACAAAGAGCTTAGTGGAAACAGATTCTGGACATTCCAACTAAACTTTTACATCACGGTTACAAAACTAAATCTAGAACATTGACAATATATAATCTATCATAGTCTTCCTTTTTTTTCAATCAAATTATATATTTAAAGCAGGGGCGTAGCTACCGCCGTATCAATGATACGGGGCCCCCAAGCTACAGGGGCCCCAACATGTGTAATTACAGCACCACGAACATGGCTTTCTTTTCTAAAAAAGGGCCCCGAAGGAGTTTTGATACTAGGCCTATTCAGAACTAGCTACGCCAATGCATTTGAGCCTGCAATCTAAAAGAAGTATTTATTTAATATTCTTCCATCGTTTCAAAAGTGCTATTTTTCTTCAATATTGTTTTTATAGAGAGAGAGAAGTGTTTTTCTTTTTATATCATTCACTTTTTTTAAAAAAAAATTGAACGGGGGTATATAACGTCTCCTTCTTGAAGTAAGAGATTTTCTTCAAAACATAGCGATTGTTACTTTAGTATTGTTATAAATATATATTTTATTTTATTTTAAAATATCTCTACCAATATACTTAATCTCAGTTTAATTCAGTTACACCGTTGTTCAGTGAATTTTTAAGTAGCATTAATAAATTATTTTAGGAATTTCATTTTAAGT